TTCACTCATCGTCTCCGTCTCCGGAACCACACCCTCACTTGCCTTTGCGATTTCATCTAGTCTCTGTGAATAATCAGTCGGCGATTCAGAAACCGTGGCCGATCTTACCTTCCTACCTTCCATGGACGCCGCCGCAGAGGAATCTACCAAGTGGCTCCTGCGAAGGTTACTTCGGGAATGGATTCACTCGGAGAGTTGATTTCCTCAGACCCAAAGGAGGAGAAGGAAGCTGGTTTCGATGTTTCTACAGCGCCACGCTACAGAGTTCGATATGCGAAGGAAGGAATCTGAGAATGGTTCCCGATCGGATCGTAATGTCGAAAGGTGGTGAGAAGCTAGAGGAAGTCATGGGGAGGAAAGAGGAAGAGGAGCTTCCGGAGTTTCGAGAAGGTGCGTTTGAGGTGGTGGAAGAGGTTTCACGGTTAGGTTTCAATAGAAACCGTCGAATTGGCGGCGGAGGAGGAGGAGGAAGCGTGAGTTCTCGGCGGCTGGTGAGTGACGAGATGCTGAATGAATATATTCAAGAAGGTGGCATTGATAGACATACAATGAGGGATTTGGTGGCTTCGATTCGTGCTATTGGCAACGAAGATTTCGTCTGTGAAGAGGTTTGTGCATCTTACTGTTGTTGTTCTGATTGGACAAGATTGATTTTGGTAAACTCTTCTTGAGGAATTAGATTGTGTTTTGGTGAAAAGATGCATAATCAGAAAGTTTTCTCTTGGATCAAAACAATTTTGGAATATCGATTTCGTTCAACTGATGCAGAAATGAATCACTGTCTGTGTGTTGGATTGAAATTTTGAGCTCTTTCAATGTTCATATTAGGTTGTGGTATCTGAGATTCTTGAAACATATGTAATGTCTTATGGATTGATGTTTGATTTTGCTTTTGCTTGGCCTCAGTGGGTGGAGGAACCAACTTTGCTTGTCACTCGATTCGAGTATGCAAATCTCTTCCATACTGTGACAGATTGGTACAGCGCTTATGTTTCGTCAAGAGTTACCGGTTTGCCTAATCGACCACACGTTGTTTTCATTGATGGACACTGCACGGTATGCTCCTCTTCTATTTCATAGTCATAACTCATATGATTCCTCAGTAGGCAGTGAAAGTCCAGTTCCATTTACCCAACTATGTTTAGACTTGCAGTTACTCTTGGTTATAGGCTTGGACTTAGCTGTGTTTTCAGGGTTTCGGTTTAACTCCATTGATGAATAAAAATGAATTTACTAGGAGTTTCATGACCATGTTGCGAACCTTTTTTCGCAGACGCAGCTAGAAGAAACATGGACAGCTTTGTTTTCGGGGATCAGATACGCAAAGAACTTCAGCAAACCTGTTTGTTTCCGCCACGCCATTCTTTCACCATTGGGATATGAAACCGTGCTTTTCAAGGGCCTGACCGGAGAAATTGATTGCAAGGGAGAACCAGCTCACAATCTGTGGCAAAACCCGGACAATAAGAAAACCGCGAGGCTGTCAGAGTTTGGCGAAATGATCAGATCAGCTTTCGGATTTCCTGTCAACCGACACCGCTCAGCAGACAAACCGCCATCATCATCATCGACAACCTCTGTTCACAACGTTCTCTTTGTCCGCCGTGAAGATTACTTAGCCCACCCTCGTCACGGCGGTAAAGTCCAATCTCGGCTCATCAACGAGAAAGAAGTGTTTGACTCTTTGCGCCATTGGGTCGCATCTGGCTCCACCGGTCTGAAGAAATGCGGGATTAATCTTGTGAATGGATTGTTTGCGCACATGTCGATGAAAGATCAAGTCCGAGCCATTCAAGACGCGTCAGTGATAATAGGAGCTCACGGAGCAGGGCTGACTCACATTGTGTCGGCTACACCAAACACAACGATATTTGAGATTGTGAGCGTCGAGTTTCAGAGACCTCATTTTGAGCTTATAGCTAAGTGGAAAGGTTTGGAGTATCATGCGATGCATCTGGCGAATTCACGGGCGGATCCAACGGCTGTGATTGAGAAGCTAAAAGAGATAATGAAGAGTCTTGGCTGCTGAAAAATGGAATGGGAATAGTGAGCGAGTTCGAGCCTTAGCGGCCACGGGATGTTATGATATTTTTTCTTCTTTCAAATTTTAGGTGGGTTAGTGATGTAAGTGCTGTAAATTGGCTTCTGCTTTTTGTACCAACCAGGCTTATTAATTTATTAATATCAATCGATTTATATAATTATTACTAGATTAAGAGCAATGTAAATAAACCAACGGTTCACTATTGAAAACAAAATCTAAATCTTATTATACAAGAGAGGATGCGGGAGCTAGACATGTAGGCAAACCAATACACTAAATGGCTAATAAACTACCAAAATCCTCTTCATAAGATCCTGCATTGTGACTCGCCGGTGACGCCGTCTCGCGTTGGTAACTGCGGCGGTGGAGAATAAAGCACATCCGGTCCATAGTACGGATAATAGTAATAAGGATATGCGACAGGAGGTTCTTCAGTGTACGGATTCTGACGGTAGTAAGTATACTGGCTCATCGGAGACGGCTGCTGAAACATCGGCGGCGGTGACCGTGGATCTTGGTAATTGAAACCAATAGGTACGTTTTCGAATGGATTTAAGGGAGGAGGAGGAACGTGACCATAATCCATGTGGATTAACTCTGCATGTTTCTTGGCTTTACGAATCCTCAGAATAATGTCAGGGCTGATTTTGCCGGAGATATAAGCTAATCCTCTTGTCGCGTCGATTGTGTATGTCACATCTGTTCATAGTCACAGCCAC